GAACGTTCCGCGAATTTTGTGCAGTGATGCGGGGGATCCCGAAATAAGGCGATCAAAATGACAGCTCGTGATGGGCTGAACTGACAGCGACCTGACCCAAGGTTGACGTTTCACCTCTTTGGCGCATGAGATGGAAAGGTGCAATGGCTGTTGAGCTTTGCCACGATACCGAGTCCTTCAAGACATGATCGCATTCCCAAAATGGCGCTGCGCCGACACTGTGGACACATTGCGAGTGTTGGAGATGCATATGGCACGCCCGTGTGTGTTTCGCAGTAGCCTAGTAGCAGTGCTGGTATTGCCACGTTGAGCCTGTGTTTCCATCACCATGTAACGTCTGAATCATTGTACGTGTGTCGGTGTGGCCAAAAATCTCTCATCCGTACATGGAAGCCCTTGGCCAGAGACAAGTGCATGGATGCGGACGGATGTTTGCGTTTTCATCCGCACCGAAGTGCATCTGCTGCAACAGCAAAGAGGTTGATGTGTCCACGAGGCCGATGGAGACTTGCCTTGTCTTTTTGTTTGTAGAGACCGGCCATGGCTCACTCAGCTCAGCTGCTCTGCGTGTCAGAGGGCCTTCTGCTCATTGATACAGCAAGATGTAAGCGAAGTAAGCGAGGTCAGGGCATCTCAAGGCCCTGACTCAGCCCTTAGAGCCATCCTGATCCTGCCAAGCCGTCATGGGGCCTTAGCCTTGTGGAAATTTGTTCCACAGAGGCTGAGCATTTCCCAACTCAGAGTTCCGCAGCGATGAGAGCTCTTCTCCTTCGTTCGGGTGTGGTTCCAGCTTAGGTTTCGAGGGGTTTGTGTTCGGGGTGATTGGATGCGGATGCCTGCGTGATTCTCTGCCAACTTTCTAAGGGCCATTTGACGGAGTGCCAGGCGTATTCAGCGTATTCAAGTCTTAGGTTCCAAAGGTCCAGGCCTTCCACCTGACCACTGAAGATGCCACGCTGTCAGAGGTGGGACGCTGGACTCAAGGAGCGATGACTGCGATGACCCAAGGGAGCTGAGAACGTGGAAAGTGCTGAGGCTTCCGCTCTGTCCTCAGAAGTTCTCAAGGCCGGGGCTGTGTCTTGACAGTGCTGACAGCCTGTGAAAGCAGTGGGCGACAAGCTGAAGGACACCCGGGTTGCAAGGGCCACGCTGTGCTCTGAGCAGCAGATGTAACAGCGCAGCGATAGGCTGTAAGAACAGCGAGAGGAGATAGGGCTGTCCAGCACCTGCCTCCCAAGTCCACATCTTGCGAGCTAGCAGTTTCTGTTTACGTTTGCCAAGAAGCTTGCTGCATCTCTTCACTTCATGCTCACTTGCTGGTCCGTGGAAAGTGGTGGTTATCCACGCATATCGACAGCAGGCCCTCGGTCTGCGTGAAAATTCCGGCATCTTTGCGATCTGTTGCGTGGCGTCTCGAATCATCCCCAGTGAAGGAAGCTACTAGAGCGCAGTACGTGCGGACCATCTGCTCCGTGGCAAACTCGGCTCACTCGGCTCACCTCTGCCTGCTCTATCGAAGTGTGTTCAAAAGCTGGAGAGACCAAGACTCTGTCAAGGATGTCTCCTTTGCCGCTCGCCTTGATCCTTCGGGTTCTGGTCCTCCCGAGTTGCAGTGTGAACTGCCTCAGGTTATTCCGAAGCCATGGCCACATTGAAGAAAAGAGCTGGACAGGTTGGCGCGCATCCCACTCCTTCCCTGTCATGGCTGGAGTGCAGAATTGTATAGGGATCTGAGCCATCCTTCCCTTGGGCATCAAAAGCCTCTCGCTTTGCTCATTGAGTTTTCAGATGCAGAGACTACGTAGGGTTCCTTCTGCAGGGTTATTTTGGGGATTGGTAATCAAGAACGTCGGTTGAAGTTCATGAAGACGGGCCTGTGCATGTGCGCTCACCTCGAGGCTGGCGCCTGTGATCTGGAGATCTGTGGAAGTCCACGTCATGCGCCGAAGCTTGCCAAGGCAGCTTTCAAGTGCCAGGTTTCGAGTCTGCGGCTTGTGGCCCGGCTGTATCGGTATCATGTCCAGGCTGGTAGGCTGCAGCCACGCATGCCCGCCTGAGATCTTCGGATGATGGGGAGCTTCATCTTGGCCCCAAGCGGGGTTGCAGACCTGATGTAGGCACCATGCCATGCGGGGGTTTCTATAGATTGGGGGTTATTGCTGGGGTGGTCTAGAGACTACGAACCCTGTTGTTTGCAAGGTCTCTAGGACTCTAGGGCCTCTAGGGTCTGCCTCCGCAGAGTGCACCCTACAGCTGGCCAGCAGCAAATGCAACGTCTAGCTGTATGTCGCTGTATGTCGAACACGTGAGCCAAAGAATCCCGTCAGACTGCTGTTTCCGACCAGGTCCCCACAGAGATCTTGCGTCAGGGTTTGCTGTTAACCGTAAGCTCTTGAGGAGGCTGGAAGGCCTGAGGAAGAGCCAAGCCCAAATTGAAAGCTATGAGACCAACGCTGCTGCAGGCCCAGTTTGTTCCGGGTTGTTCCATTTTCGCTTTGACCCTGGATGCCCAATTCCGCTTTGGTTGAAGTGACCGCGCGCTCCCCGAGCCACAGCGGGGTTCTGTGGTGCCTACTTCAGCACCTTTCGGACCAGAGCTCCTGTCGCTTGAAGGCCTTTCTGGCCGTCTGCTCTTTGGCGAGGCCTCGGCCACGATGTCAAGCGCCGTCCCAGCTAAACGGCCACGTGTGAGCCCTGGCAGGACTTGTGGGTCTGCGGAGGTGCAGCCTTCTGTCCAGGTAAGTACAAGGCTCCCTCAGATCCTTTGGCAGGCCTTTCTGGCCGTGCGAGTGTTGATTGCGACAAGAAGATACCGGCCATTTTGAAGAGATCTGGCCTGACACCGGAGTTGAAACTTTTGATGGGGTTTGTACCTGTTGCTGTACGGCATTCGCAGTCTCCGAGCTGTGTGCACCAGCTGCGGCTGCCAGTGATCTGTATGGTGCCACGCGCAGGCTTTGCAGTTTTGCACCAGGGTAGCCGCAGCTGCGAATGGATTTAAGACACCCTCTCGTGGTTTGACGGCTCTAGGAGACACCCTGTGACGGAGCCACAGACACGAGCAAGTGGATGAGAGCTTCCCCGCACCTGAGGATATCTTGAAGTGTCGAAGTCTTTGTGTCAATCGTTCGTTTAGCGCCCGGAGGGAGCTGGGCAGGAGCGCAGAGGACGAACAGCTGGTCAGGGGCAGCCTGCTGGCGAAAGCATGAGTTGGTCCCTTGACTCCAAAAGAGCATGTTTGAAGCATGCTCCGCCTCCGAGTAATCCATACGCCTTGTACATCGCGCCGTCGCCTCCTGCAAATGTACGCGCCCCCAAGGATTGGGGTCCCAAGAGATGTAGTCATGCTGCGGACCGCACCTTGGCTTGAGGCTATTTGCATTCGACCCACGCCACACACTGCAGGGGCTTGTGCGAATCTTGCGGCCAAGGGCGAACATCTTTGTGCCGTTGCTTCAGGGGCAGACGACTACACTTAGAGCCTGGCATCCAGCAGAAGTGGCTTTAGTGGGTTCCAGTCCGGGCTCTCGGTGCCTTCACCTGAAGCGGTGCTCGTGCGCAAGCATTCTGTTTGTCCTCCTTCGGATGCCATGGCCTACTGCTTCTCTGCTTGAATGCTCACCGAAACGAAGTAGGAAGCTCCGAAGACACTTTGCCATGCGAGAAGAGGTGTCAAGGTATCCTTTCCTTTCGACACGCGAAGGCTCTTACGCGCGGGGGCCGCAGATGGGCAAGCCTCTGGCAGCAAGAGGCTCTGCCCCGGCATCGCAGAATTGTCAGTGCCTGCCTTCATCAGCCCTCAAGACATGAAGCAGCTCCTCAGCGAGACAGCCCAGACCTGGTGCATGAAAAGGGGCTTCAGAGAGATCTGTGATCAAAAACCTCAAAGATACCTGAACCCTTACTTTCTTGTTGCCCTGTGAATAGCCCCTTTTTTGACGCGGCACTGGCAGTCCGTGAGCATCTCCAAACAGATCCAAGCCCTCGCGCAAGTGGACTCCACAGTGCTGCGTTGCCAGGGCAGCCTCATCATTGAAGTGAGCCCGCACTGCCCAAATGGGCTGCGCGTCAGCAGTGCTTGCGCCCTTCTGTCATGGCCTCGGTTTGCCTGACCCCCCTTCCTTGGGGGTGTTGAAGCTGCGCACCCTGCTTCTGCACTCAAGTCCTGTAAAGCCCAAGGCGCGGGTTGTGAGAGCGGGCCCGGGGGCTTTTCAAAATCAGGGTGGCGTTCTCGGGGTCCCTGTCAGACATGCCAACCCTTAGTCTTCACATGCAGGGGCAGGTTGCTTGAGTACCCGCGCTCTGACCTCCGGTGCTTGGAATCCCTGGACCTCAGGGCCTGCCGCCGCATTGCAAGCTTCCTGTGAGAGACTACGTTTAGTGTTCAGCAAGACACGGGTATGTGTGTCACGTCAGTTCTTGGCGCATGCAGCCTCTTAGGTGGCAAAGTGATTGCCAGTATCAGCGAAGATGCGACCAATGTCGCCGTAGTCCTCAATGTCTGCGGCTTCTCTTCCAGCTTGTGGGCTGAGCTCGGGCTTCAGCTTGCTTCCATGGATTCTGGGAGGCTTGTTCCCAGGACTCTTGTGTTGTGCAGTCCTGGCACGGCCCCTGGATGCGTAGCGTAGGCCCGTGAGGCAAATGAGCCAGCTTAACCTGGCGGGCTTCTCTTGCTCCTGTACCAATAGGGTCAGTTGCCGTGCAAAGGTACCAGGATGCCTCAAGGCTGCCTGCGCGAGGAGATGACTCTTGCCAAGATCCCTTGACCGCGCTGCCCATACGACCCCCCAGGTTGCAAAGAAGATGATCTCCCACAAGTGCAGGAAGCGGCCCAGTGGAAAGCAAAGCACGTTGCTGGGCATCGTACTTGTGACTAATCCCGAGGTTCCTGCCCTACTCCCCTCTGGCCTGTGACCGCAGGTTTGGGATGCAGCTGTCAGGATCCGCGCTAAGGCAGCATACTCGTAGGCTTTGCCCTAAACTGTTCTCTTGGCTATTCTTCAAAAAGCGCTCTCCAACGGCTGCTGGTCCAAGAGGTGCGCAGCTTTGTTGCGGCTGCGGCACCTGGCATAGCTTGCTGAGCCGCTCCAATGGCTTGCTGGTTTGCTCTGCAAGGCTACATCCCCTCCTGATGGGCCGCGGTGGTGTGTTGCTTCGAGCGGCTCCGTGTAACCGCAGAACTGCAGTGGCAAAGTCGACTCTGCTCCCTGCAGGCGCCTGTGACAATTCCTTGGTCTGTGACCGCTGTTTCCGACTCCGTCTGGCGACTGCGAAAGGTTGCGCCGTGTCGTGGCAAGGTGCATCTTGGGCATGCCGGCGAGTGAAGAGGTCCGTGGCATTTCGAAAGCGCCAGGTCGTTGTGAGCCAGGGCTCACAGCAGCACCAGCCGGAAGCCTGCACATGGCAGTTGCTGGCAGCCCGCACATGGCAGCCCGGCACATGCCACTGCACACACTGCACATGGCGTTGTTTTCATGGAGAGGGCACGGGCCAAGTGCTCTCAGGGAGTTCCGGCTTCGCAAGGCTTCTGCCATCCTCATGCTCTCTGGGGGATACATGGACAGACTTCACATAGATTTCTAGACTTGCTATAGAGGTCTATAGGGTGCAGGGACTTGGGTTCCGGTCTAGGGATGTCTAGGGCTTAGAGTGGAACCTCGTCGGTGGCGTGCTTCCCAGGCGCTGAGGCCGGAAGTTGAGCCAGACGAGGCTGAAGCGAAACCGACCTACACCCCAAAAGCCGCCAGTGAAGCCATTTGCCCTTGTGTTTTGCAGCGGAATACTGACCACCAACATCACCCTACCAGCACGACTGGGGCCTCATTGCAGATCCAAAGGAGCTGTCGAGAGCGCTGCAGCATCCCCCTCTTTTGCTGCGCGACATGAGGGGGGGGACCTTCCCAAGTGCAACATTGCCGTCCGCCATCTGGCAGCGGTGGAGGCAAACCTGCAAGTTCAGACGTTGAAGTGTCGAAGATTGCAGTTTTTTCGTTTCCGTTGTTTCCGCTGAAGGTGAAGATATTGGTCTGCCATTTGGAAATTTAGGAAGCGCACTAGCCGCGAAACAACAATCTCCTTTCGTGTGTTCTTCTTGCTTGGCTTCTAGGCCTCATCAGAAATCCTGAGGCCAATGGCGAGCTGGTCCCGTTTCGATCCTCTTCGAGGGCTACAGCTATAGCCTAGCAGCCTACCAAGGCCAAGGCTGTCCGACGGCCCAGAAAAGAAGACCTCGGGAAACTAGCGGCTGTTTATGAGCGGGGTTCCTGACGCCATCCCACTCCCGAAACCCTCCCAACATCACGGGCCTCGGCAGGCAGGATGCTCTTTTGTTGTGGGTTGCCCATCACCTCAAAAATGCAAAACCTCCATTAATGCTGACTGCTTGTGGTCTCTTCAACGTCGGGCCACAAGCAACCCTGTGCGTAAGAGCACCTTTCCGCCCCACGTCCCTGTTCATGTGCATCAGAGCATGAGGGGCATTGTGGTCACCCCAATCTTAATCTTGCCTCCGACTGGATACCTGTCATGCTGCCTTCTCGGGTAGGTCGCACGCACACAACTGGAGCTTGGAATATGCAGTGGCAAACCAGGCAAACCTTCAGCTTCCACGGAGGGGGATGCCGCAGCAGTTACGACCTGGCGCAGCAGTCTCAGTGTCACGTGCTTTTCACAAGCACGTTCCAAGAGTGGATCTACCTTGTATCTCAGGGCTACCCAAAATACTGGCATTCGATGAGATGCGCAGACCCGGCAAAGCGCACTTCCGACGAGACCGCTGGGCATGATCGCTTCCGCAGTCCATCGTCTGGCATGACGTCAGGTTCCCGGCATGTTTGTATCCAGCCTTCCAGCTAGTAGGAGCTAGTCCGTGTGCTGTCGTCTTTCTGGCATGTAGAAGTTGCCCCTTCATGAGGCACCAGGCGGAGCAAGATAAAACCCGGTCTTCCCGGAAGTTTGGTAGTTGCAAAGCACTCATGCCCCTGACCTGCTTCTGGAAGATGACTGGAGATACTGTGTTGCTGAGTGCCTGCGCGCGCAAAGTGCGACCCTGAGCAGGCCTGCTGTCATGTCCTCTTGATGCCATCGCACCTCTTGCATACTCCTCATGCCAGCAGCACCTGTAGACTAGCCCGGACGCGAAGTTCAGTGGTCCCCGGCCACGGGCGCCGAAACCGCATGGCCTGGCCACGTGGCCGTTCCGTGTCTCTGATGGGGACTGTGGGCTTCCAAGATCAAAGCTGGTAGAAGGAGGCAGGCCCCTTGCACGCCAAGTGCTAGGAAGATGCTTTTGCGCCAGGTGACACGAGAGCCATGTTGCGTTAGGCGTCACATGACGTCAGGGCCCTGGCGTTTTAATGTCGTTTGTCAGCCCGAATCGCATGATGTGGCACGTGAGCTGCTCGTGTTCCTTCGGTGGTCCAGGTCAGTTGAGCCTGAGCTGCCGTCAGAAGGTGTCACACAGAGTTCGACCGCACTCAGGAAAAGGCTGAAGCAAGACTCCACGTAGGACCTAGGCACAGAATGGCACAGAGGCGGGTGCTCAGAGCGGCCAAACCCCGCCCTTGTGTGTTTCTTGCTCTGGAGTCGGCCACCGTGATTGTGTAGCCGAGAGGGCGGAAGTGAGTGAGTTCCGGGCCCGCGACAGTGCGGCAAGAAAAACGCGCGCGCTGTGGGGCGAGCCGTGTTTATGCTGCGCATTCGCACGCTGCTTTTGTGTAAGAGGGCGTGGAACTCCAACCCAGAGCGGGAGTCGGTGAATGAGTCCCGGGCCTGTGAAGGCGCAGCAAAAATAGGCGCACCCTGGGAGGCAAAAAGAAAGCGCGCCCTGGATGGCAAAAAAGCGCGCCCTTTCCCGGAAGAGCCAGTTGTGTGCTTCAAACCTCCTGGGCTACTTGCGGCCATGCTGTTCATGGCGCACACAAAGAGGGAGTGGGGATGGCCACAGGTCGGGGGCCCGTTTCAGTTTGAGTTGGCAGGGTGGTACTACGACCTTCGACTAGGGAATGTGCAGTCCGGGTCGGGCTTGTGCATGGTGAGCCGAACAAGATTGTTTTCACTTGTGGCTGTGACATGGCTGTGCCCGCTGCCTTTGCGCCGCTTCTTTCAAGCCATCGTCGAAGAGCATGCAAGTTGCCCACTTCTGATTGAAAAAGCCCTGTATAAGTCCCCCCCTACCCCTCCCGATCTTGATCGGCAACTTTCTGGCCGAAGCTAATTCATCTCAGCTTGGAATGGTTGGTCGATGGAATTGAACTTTGGTTGGTGTTTTTGACACAAGACATAGAGCAATTCCTGGCATATTGAGAAACGTGTCGAATACATTGACGACCAGACCATGGAGTTTCCTCCGCGCACCTGCCCCGGCGGCTTGCCGCGACCAGTGCAGGAAGTTCACGCTCACATTAGCCAAGGCGGGATGTGTACGAAGTGCACGGGACAGAGCTTCAGTTTGTGGGGTACCGAAACTTATCACTTGTTCTCATGTCTCATCCACTTAACATGTCTTGCATACAAATGACACACGTGAGTGCAGTAGCGCCAAGCAGCCACTTTCGAGTTCCAGGGTTTAAAAAGCTTCGGCCCCCCCCCCCCCCCCCCCCGCCTCCCCCAACAAACTTCGACAGGGGTGATGTCATGCAAACTCGAGTCTTGCAATGAGTGTCGGGGAGTTCGGTGACCATGTACGAGCCCAAGTCTTGTAAGGATAGATCCCGACAAGCCCAGCCAGGTCGAGCTGGGCAGGGTTTGTGTTTGGCGTGCTTAAGAGGGTGTAGGGTGGTTTAGGGCATGATCTGTGTGTCTTTGTTTGGGGTTACGTGTTGCTTGTTTTTGGGGCGCTGTATGACTTTCAAATACTTTCAAGAAAACAAGAGTGACAAGAGTGACTACAGTATTCATGAACCCTATAAATGCGTTGGTCGCAGTGACAAGGATTCCCACACAGACGTCTCCCCCTAGTTTACAAAATAATTAACCCTTATAAGAAGACATGTAAATTCGATCAAGATTCGACCTCTTCCAAAGGGGCGTTCATACAGTTGCTTCGACTTTGTCGAGCAACGAACGCAATCTGACTTGCAATTTCGCCTACAGTATCAGCTCAAGGCACTGCAGACAGAACGGTGAGTCAACGACAGACACACACCGGTTTCCTACAGACGGGCGTGTGCTCATGCACTACATGTTCGAACGAGCAGATTTTCGCACCTATCTAATTTACTGACACACGCTGGCACAAAAAAATAGCAGGTAGAACGTGACAACTAATAGGTATGCGATTTCAGGTACGGCTGGCTGCGCGGTTTCAAAATTGCGATCCTCGGGTTCCAGATGTTCCAAGAGGAAAACATGTTCAGTCTGCATGCCCGGGCCTGCTCCTTTTGCAGCTTGCTCTTGACCCGAGAGCTGTACACCCTGTTGTGGTTTCGTGAGAGAATCTGCGATCTGGGTGGCGGCATCAGTTTCGATCGGTGCACGACATGGGTCGGGAAAATTTTCGGCCCAAGGTTGCTGGCGAATGGCACAGGGCTCGCCCCCCAAATGCTTGTCAGTCGCTTTCCCATGCAGAAGGTTCTAGGTGGTCAGGCAGCGACTAGCAGCGGTGACAGGTGCACATACGCTGGGACTGTTCATCAAAGTGCTGAAGTCGCGGGAGCCCTCTGATTTCATGTAGCATTCCTTTACGATTGCACACTTCACACCTTGAACCTTGGAGTCCAAGTCCATGTGTCTCGGTAACAAGCTTGTGTGCAATTTCTGCGCATCGTTGTCATTCGTTGTCGATGTACCCCACGGCCCAACTGAAGTGATCCATGTTGGCGCAGGCACAAAATCCAATCGTTTGCGCGAAAGCAAAGCCAGGAGTATTCAGGAGTCGCCCCAATCTTCGCCAGGAAACGCAACTCCCCCCTTTTTCGCAGCCCGCGTCTTGAAACTTCTGGTTCAAGGTGTGAAGTCCTGAGTTTTTCTACATCTGTTGGGCACACCTCACATCTCGAGTGTATACTTCATCCCGCAGCTTGACTTCGAAACTTAGGCTCGCACCTGGTGTTTTCTTTGGAACTCATGCTAGTTAACCATGCTACAGTTTTCCTACAGCTCAGGACATTGGGGGTAGAGGATTATGGGGCTTGACGTTTGAGGATACACGTTGGTTTAGGGCCTCCCTGATGATCAGGCGCTTTTCGCTCGCGCTGGCCTGACACACCGGAAGAGGCGCGGAGTCTCTTAAACCTTACCGCCTCCAGGGCGTTGCGGGTTTGGTCTAGGGTTTTGGTTTTAGTGCCCGTGCGACAGACGTGGTTGCCAGGTGTGAGGCGATCACGCGTGAACCACAACCTCAACTTGAAGCATTGGACCATAGATTCAGTAGCGGCAATAGTGATCCTTGAAGCCTAAACCATCCTAAGCCCCTGACAACGATGCAACCTGAAACCCATGCCCAGGCCATTGGTCTCATTGGTCTCATGGGTCTCATGAGCCAAACGACCCTCTGATGATGACCTCGCTTCTCGAGCGCAGCCTGGGAAATGGCTTCTCAGACTGAATCCCTAAGCCC